TTTAAGTAAGTCCCATTTGTTGATTCTTGTTATTAACTCTTGTGCTATGGGTGTCCTATTGAGGAATTTGGAGCCTGACCCCACAATATGTAGATCGGAGCCAACTTTTTCTTCTATCAGACACAGAGTCTCTGATTTGATATCAAGCTCCTTGATTTGATATCAAGCTCATTGGTAAATCTTTATGGCTACATTTTCAAAACATATCCAGAATTAAAGCTAGTTCAAGTACATATAATTTTTCCTATGGTTTATTGCGGTGTGCTTCTAAATGGTGTCTATTGCTTCTTCAGCCCATCTTCAGTTTCCCTTCAACACAGTGTTTAAAAAAAAAATCTTGGTAATACCTAGGTCAGTTTGTATGAAATCACTTCTCAAAACTTTTAAATAGCTTCCCATTTTCTTTCTTTCTTTCTTTTTTAGTTGTAGATGGACTCAATTCTTCATTTATTTATTTATTTATTTATTTTTATGTGGTACTGAGGATTGAACCCAGTACCTCATACGTGTGAGGCAAGCACTCTGTCACTGAGCCACAATCCCAGCCCAAGCTTCCAATTTTCCTCACAGTAAAAGCTAGAGCCCTTGCAATGGTCTTCAAGGCCATCATTTATGTTCTCCCTCCATTATTATTTGACCTTATTGCCTTTTACTTTCCCCTGTGCTCACTTCATTGTAGCTAGATTCACCTCCTTGCTGATCCCCCACCCAAATTTTAACAGAATCAAAATAATCAGTAAATTCTAAATATCCAGATTCTTTTGTTGTTCTTAGTCACCTCTTTAAATTTACTCTTAAGGGATTGTCATTATCTTTGAGTATCGAGGCTTGCTGATAGATTAATCTTTGTAAATCACTTAAAAGTCAAAGGTATTATTTAACATTTCTATGTGTCATGTCTTGCATACATTGGAAAAAAAACAAAAGTAGACAGATGTGTCTTAGGATATATGTGTATTAATGTGCATACATATAAATAAAGATGTGGGCATAAAAARGGGTATTATTTAAGTACAAAGTGGCATTTTAAATGACAAAAGTGCCCCCTGTCCTAAGTGCTGTCTTGTAATAAAGCACAGCCATTTTATCTTTGGGCATCTATAATTAAGACCACACAGGTGAATGATTYTATAGGTTGGACCTATAATTTTTTTGAGCTACAGAAATTATTGTATTCACATAGCAGACATCTACAGGTATTGTCTGCAGTCCGAACTAGGAAAGCTTAATGCAGTCCTTTCTAATTTTGGCTTAAGGAAATTGGCAGTCCCAAGGACAATGGATTCTTCCCAAGTTCCTCAAATGGAAAGAGGGTGACTAGAATAAAAAGGGAGAAATTCCATTAAGAGAAGCTGTTTTGAATCTCATTTTGAGTGCTTTATGAACCCCTTGAGTTGTTGGTCACTTAAAAAGAACTCATTAAAGCTATCAGTGTTTTTATGACTATTTTAGTCTTTCACTTCTTTTCCCATTCATTAAAGAAGATATAAGTTACAGGATTGTGGAAGAATAAAGAAACAGATGTTAGATGTTTGTGAATTTTGTGTCAACTCTGAAATACCTTCAATAGGATTACATTGGGGTGACATTTCTATTCTTAATGAATATTTAATAGTTGTGCTATGATCTATTAACACATTGTAATAGTGTTTTAAGCAGTTAGAMCACAAATGGTTAGTATATTCAGTCTTGTTCGTAAAGTTGTTTGTAGGACATTGAATTTTTGCTTTGTAAATTTTGTAAAATTTTGCCAAACTTTATAAACCTAACATTTAAGAATAAAAATATCTTGCTAGGTACAGCAGTCTGATTTTTAATGAAAGGATAGCAGTATGCTATACGTGGTGGCACACCTGTAATCCCAGTGACTCAAAAGGCTAAGGCAGGAAGATCACGAGTTTGAGGCCAGCCTCAGCAACTTAGTGACGCCCTGTCTCAAAATAAAAGACAGAAAGAACTGGAGATGTTACTCCATGGAATTACCCCTGGGTTTAATCCCAGGTCAAAAAAAATAGCAATGTGCCTTAGTTTTGAGTAGGTATTCATCTTGAGTAGGTATTCATTTTCCTCCTTTAGTAATAGACTGAGTATATTTACTTTTCAGTTTTTCAAAAGTATTTTTCATGAAAGTGTTTCTCCCACTTTTATGGGAAAAAAAATCCAAAAGTTTTTTTGCATTTGTGTTCCTGTAGATACAAAACAGAAGGAAAAGAAAAGGAGGCAATCCTTGAAGAAGATGATGATCTCTGGGTAAAAATTCGACATCGGCATATTGCAGTTGTACTAGAGTATGTGAACCCATTTTAATTTTTATTTCATATTTCTTAGGTATTCAATATGTTGTAGTACATTTTATAAATTTAAAATAGTTCTGTAAAAATATTCCACCTTAGAAGTTACAGAATTCTTTCACAATTTTACAGAGAAATTCCAAAGCTTGTGAAGGAAATTTCATCAACAAAGAAAGCAACCGAAGGAAAGGTAAGCTCTTTTCAACTTTCAAAATAATGGTAAAGGTGAATTTTAAACTTTGTTGAATTTTTGTTTTATTTATTTAAATTTCCATTTGGGGAACATTCTAACACAGAAGTCAAGAAAATAAACACCTATGTACCTAAGTCTCATCAAAAGTTAGCATTTTGGGGCTGGGGATGGGGCTCAGCAGTAGCACACTTGCCTGGCATATGTGAGGCACTGGGTTTGAGTCTCAGCACCACATATAAATAAATGAAAGAAACATCTATCAACAACTAAAAAAATTTTTTTTAAATTACCATTTTGTGGGGCTGGGGTTGTGGCTCAGTGGCAGAGCACTTGCCTCACACATTTGAAGCACTGGGTTCCATCCTCAGCACCACATAAAAATAAATAAACAAAATAAAGATGTGTTCACGTATAGTTAAAAAAATTTTTAAAAATACCATTTTGTCTGTCTTGCTTCATTAAAATTGATTTTAAAAAGGTGATTTAGTCAATTTCAGTTTACTGTTGGGATTTTTATACTGGAGTATAATTTACAGAAGCAAAACACACAATTTTTTTTTTTTTTTTTAAATTTCTGGTATTGAAGACTAAACCTAGGGATGCTTAACCACTGAGCCATATACCCAGCCCTGTTTATAGTTTATTTTGAGACAGGGTGTCAATAAGTTGCTTAGGAGCTGGGGATGTGGCTTAAGCGGTAGCGCGCTCGCCTGGCATGTGTGCGGCCTGGATTCGATACTCAGCACCACATACAAACAAAGATGTTGTGTCCGCCGAAAAACTTAAAAAAAAAAAAAAATGTTAAAAAAATTCTCTCTCTCTCTCTCTTTAAAAAAAAAAAAAATATATATATATATATATATTAAAAATAAATAAATAAGTTGCTTAGCGCCATGCTAAGTGGTGAGGCTGGCTTTGAACTCATGGTCCTCCTGTCTCAACCTTCCTGGGATTACCAGTGTGCACCACTGTGCCCAACAAGTACACAAATCTAAATGTACACTGGATAACTTTTTACTGATGTATATACCTATGAAACTACCACCTAAATCAAGATTAAAAACATTTCAAAAAGTTCCATCTGCCTTTTCCCAGTCAGCAATCTGCCAGAGGTAAACTATTCTGATTTCTATCACCATAGATTAGTTTTGCCTTTACTTAAATTTCACATATATGGAATCTTATGGTATATGATCTTTTTGTTTGGCTTTCATTTAACATGATGTTTTTGTGATTTACACATTACATCTTTTCAATAGTTCTTTCATTTTTATGTAATAGTAATACCATTTTTATAAATATACAGATATGCTTTGCTTAACAACAGGGATACATTCTTTGTGATACTGAAGCTTGAACCCCAGGGCACTCTRCCTCTGAGCTACATCGCTACCCCTTTTTAACTTTTTATTCAAATGAGGTCTTGCTAAATTGCCCACAGTGGGCTGAGGTGAACTTGAGATCCTCCTGCCTTAATCCCCACCCCTCAGTAGCTGGAATTATGGGGTGTGTCATGGCACCTGACTATAGGGATACATTCYGAGAAACATGTCATTGAGTATTTTTGTCACAATGGGAATATCATAGAGTGTAGTTATGCAGACTAAGATGGGTGCATAAGTAGGTAATATAAATCTTCTGAGACCACCATTGTATGTGTGGTCTATCATTGACCAGAACATTTTACACAGTACATGACTGTACTGCACTTTGTTTATGTGTTTGTATTTCTCCTTTTGATGGATATTTGGACTGTTTCCAATTCAGGCAAATTTTGAACAAAGCTTCTATGGATATTTTTGTAAATATTTTTTAGAGAATAGATGTCCTCTTTTTCTGGGATATGTTAAGAGCAGAATTATTGAATTATAGGGAATATACTTAGCTTAATAAATGACAAAAGATAATGCCAAACGTTTATAAAGTATTTGAACCAATTTACACTCCTGTCAGCAACATATAAGTGTTCCAGTTGCTCTGTATTCTCACTATTCCACAATATTTTCAGGGTTTTTTCCCTTGCCCAGTTAAAATTTTCAACACTCAGGAGGCTAAGCAGGAGGAGTGCAAGTTCAAGGCCAGTCTCAGCAAATTAACAAGGTCCTAAGCAACTTAGCAAGACTCTGTCTCAAAATAAAAATAAAAAGGGCTAGGGATGTAGTTTAGTTGTAAAGATTAATCCCCAGTACCAAAAAAAAAAAAAAAATTATTTGTGAGGTGGTATCTATCTATCTATCTATCTATCTATCTATCTATCTATATCTTTATTTTATTTTTATGTGGTGCTGAGGATTGAACCAAGGATCTCACACATGAGAGGCAAGCGCTCTACCACAGAGCTACAACCCCAGCCCTATGAGGTGGTATCTTATTGTATTTTTAATTGATTTTTTTTAAATAAATGATAGCGGAATGCATTACACATATAAAGCACAATTTTTCATACCTCTGGTATATTCACACCAATTCGTTTCTTCATACATGTACACATTCCACCATCATTGCTAACCCCCTGCCCCTTCCCTTCCCTTCTCTTCCCTTTCCTTCCCTTCCCACTCCTGTCTCCTATCTAGAGTTCATCTATTCCTCCCATGCTCCCACTCCCTATCCTACTATGAGTCAGTAACCTTATATCCAAGAAAACATTTGGCATTTGGTTTTTTGAGATTGGCTAACTTTACTTAGCATTATCTTCTCCAACTCCATCCATTTACCTGCAAATGCCATGATTTTATTCTCTTTTATTGCTGAGTAATATTCCATTGTGTATGTATACCACATTTTTTTTATCCATTCATCTATTGAAGGGCATCTAGGTTGGTTCCACAGTTTAGCTATTGTGAATTGTGCTGCTTTAAACATTGATGTGGCTGTGTCCCCATAATATGCTGTTTTTAAGTCCTTTGGGTGTAGACTGAGGAGAGGGATAGTTGGGCCAAATGGTGGTTCCATTCCCATTTTCCAAGGAATCTCCTTACTGCTTTCCATATTGGCTGTACCAATTTGCAGTCCCACCAGAAATGTATGAGTGTATCCCTTTCCCCACATCCTTGCCAACATTTATTGTTGTTTGTCTTCATAATAGCTGGCATTCTGATAGGAATGAATTGTCATCTTAGTTTTGATTTGCATTTCTCTAATTGCTAGAGATGATGGACATTCTTTCATATATTTGTTGATTGATTGTATATCCTTTTCTGAGAAGTGTCTGTTCAGGTCCTTGGCCCATTTATTATTTATTGATTGGGTTATTTGTTTTTTTGGTGTTTAGCTTTTTGAGTTCTTTATATACCCTAGAGATTAGTGCTTTATCTGATGTGTGAGGGATAAAAATTTGCTCCCAAGATGTAGGCTTTCTATTCACCTCACAGATTGTCTTTTTTGCTAAGAAACTTTTTAGTTTGAATTCATCCCATTTATTGATTCTTGCTTTTAATTCTTGTGCTATTAGGAAGTTGGGGCCTAATCCCACATGATGACGATTAGGGCCTACTTTTTCTTCTATTAGATGCAGTCTCTGGTTTAATTCCTAGTTTCTTGATCCACTTTGAGTTGAGAGATAGGGGTTTAATTTCATTTTGTTGCATATGGATTTCCAGTTTTCCCAGCACCATTTGTTGAAGAGGCTATCTTTTCTCCTACGGAGGTTTTTGGCACCTTTGTCTAATATAAGATAATTGTAATTTTGTGGGTTAGTCTCTATATCCTCTATTCTTTACCATTGGTCCACCAGTCTGTTTTGGTGCCAATACCATGCTGTTTTTGTTACTATTGCTCTGTAGAATAGTTTAACGTCTGATACAGTGATGCTACCTGTTTCACTCTTCCTGCTAAGGATTGCTTTAGCTATTCTGGGTTCTTACTGTATTTTTAATTTATATTTCCCTTATGTTCTTAAGCTTATTGGCTGTTTGGATATCCTATTTTAAGAAGTGCCTGTTTAAGTATTATTTCCATTTTTAACTRAGTTGTCTGTTTTTCCTACCAATCTGTAGAAGATATTTTCTGGATGAAGTCCTATATATAAGTCTTTTCATAAACAGAAGTTCTTAATTTTTATCAGTTTTTCATAGTGCTTTTGTGTCTTGATTAAGAAGTCTTTGCTTATCACAAGATCATTAATATATTCTTCTGTGTTTTCTTTTAGAAGGTTGATTAGCTTTTACAAATCTATAATTTACTCAGTAATTTTGTTGTATATGTGAAGTAAGCATCTAAGTTCATTTTATTTCTATATAAAAAAAMCAGTTACTCAAGCACTATTTATTGAAAAGACTGTGACCATAAATGCCTAGGTATATTTCTGATCTCCAGTTCTTTTCCTTGTTCAGTGTGTCTGTCTTTGTGACAATACTGCCCTGTCTTAATGTACTTTGTATTAGTTTTAAAACTTGATATTGAAAATCTTTCAACTTTTTCAGGATCATCTTAACTTTTTGTAACTTCAGCATTTTTATGTATATTTTAGATTCTGCTTGACAATGTCCACAAAAACATTTCCCTGAAATTTTTATTAAGTTACATGAATTTGTACACCAATTTGGGAAGAACTAATAGAAATATAAAGTTTTCTTACTCATTGAAATGGAGTATAGCTCCATTCATGTGGCTCTTCTTTAATTTCTCTTAGCATTGCTTTATAATTTTCACTGTAGAGATATTGAGCATTTTGGATTATTCCTAGGTATTTGATTTTTTATGTTATTATAAATGGTAATTTTTTTGAACTCTGTTTTATCAGTATATATTTGTATATTGACCTTGAATTCAGTGACCTTGCTAAATTTATTTTTTAATTCTAATGCTTATTTATAGATTGAATTTTTTAAAAAAATTTTTTTATAGTTGTACACAATAACTTTAATTTATTTTTATGTGGTGCTGAGGATCGAACCCAGAGCCTTGCACATGTGAGGCGAGCACTCTACTGCTAAGCCATAACCCCAGCCCTTGAATTTTTAATATGTACAATAATGTCATCTATGAATAAAGAAAAT